TCCTTTAAGCATGGCCTCTTTCTGCATGGCCTTCATGTCCTGCTCCAGGGATGATTTCCTCTTTGAGACCCTCAATTTTCAACAGACCCTTTTTTGGTATCCACAAGAGAAACCTGGTGTCCTCTAGTTCTTTTCAGGCAAACAGCCCTCATCCTTTGTCCCTCTTGCATTTGGAGGTCTCTACAATGTTCTGCAGTGCCTGATTGTCTCCTCTTGACTGTAAGTTTGGAGGACAGCTCAAGACAGCTGCTCTTCAAACTCCAGTGCTCTTTCAACATTTCATTATTGAAGACCTCTTTCTTCATCTCCATCTCATGCTCCAGGATTATTCTCTCAGTCAGGTGTCAACCAGCATCACCTTACTCGACTATCTCCAGATGCTGATGTGTGACTTCTTCCATTCCTTCTGGAGGTCCTGCCCTTCTGTAGGTTCTGATTTCCTCCCCTTTGCAGTCAGTTTGAAGACAGTATACATCTATCGTCATTTCCTCCAGCTGGTTCTCAGACGAGTCTGGTTAGCAGTTTTAATGTCTCTGCTAAAGTTTCTTGCTGCTGTCGTTAAGCTTTTTCACCAAGGCTTCTTTTCAGCTCTAAGGTCTTGGTCCAGCTTTGGGTCACTTGAGCTGTTCCTGGAGCTTTGGTTAGTGCAATAACACTATGAGCTCCTCCTTGGTTTTGGTGGAGTAATTTGACATGTCCTGTTGTATTGAAAATGAGAATTCATGTGCTTAAGTTCATCTTGAGAATCCTGATCTCCTTTTGCTCTCCAGTCTCCCATCATGCTCTATCTTCAATCTTCCTCCGACTCCTGGACGATGTCTTGCTGAGCATATCTCTGTCGGACCCTGGTTTTCAGCTCCTTCTCCTGTTTGATAAGAAAGTTCAGTCCTGTACTTCATTCTTGAGGTCTGCAACCACCTGCCGTTGGGGTGGGTGTCCTTGATGCGATGGGCGATGGGTCCATCCTGTTTGGGCCACTGGTGCTGCCAAAGAAGCTCCCTCCCTCCTTTGGTGGAAAGTTTGAGCTTTTGGCTGAGCAGGATGCTGCCTGTTGTGGCTCTGTTGGTGGCCCCTGCTGTTGGCTCTGGCATTGAGTTTCTAAACTCATGAGCCCATCTCCATCGTGTCTGCCTTCTCTGGGATCTGTAGTACTCCATTACTGTTCTTAGATGAAACAGTGACTTAGCTGGTAAACTGTTTGTGTTCTTACTGAAGTGTCTTCTAACAATGTTGAATCTCAGATTGGATCTGTGAACTGTGGTTGTCTCAGACTTGACCAGTTAAGTACTGAGTAGGTGAGTCCTTGTGTTTACTTATAGTAGAATGAAGATTCTAAATGGTTTGATGATCCAGAGTTCGGAATGCCTTTGATTTAATTTTTTCCCAACATTCTGTTAACACGACATCACGGCATCAGTCAATTATTTTCTTCTATTCGAAGTAAACAAAATGGCTGCCCAGCATATTCATTCAATATGACCTTTACTGATTTACTATAGGCTGAGATATAATTATACAATGTTTTGTCCTACTTCTATTTTATCAAGTTGAATAAGTTAATCGTAGTTTACTGGTTTATTCTACAGGTCCACACAAGAAACACAAACGTTTAAGAACAATAAAAATGTCACAAACACTATACTCCATATAACTCCTACTTATAACAGCCTGTCCTGACAACATGCGACGCTAGCTAGCGTCGGCATCATAACTGGCCTTAATATATTGCTTGTTTGAAGTTGATGATTGGAGTGTCCTAACTGCCGCAGCACTTCGAGGCACGCCGTTTTTATCCCGACGCCCCTTTTCTATTTTCCTCTCTGTCACTGGCGTGGACAGACGAAGAACGAGGAAGGAGGGGGCTTTATACAGCACTGTCACTCACCTTTCTCAACACTCAACAGATCTTGTTAGTTTGTTTAACAAATCACCACACATCAGTTTGTCCAACGTCAATACAAAAGCACTAGATAGGCTACTGTTTGAAAGGGGGAACTGAAATTCACAGAGCAAAGAATGATTTATTTAATGTATTCAGTGTGGACAGCAGTGGGCGATCATGCGCAATGCGACTTGAGCTTGTGTGCTGTTAGGGACACGGACTGAATGTTAGGCCGAGACAGCATGACCATTATGGCTGTGGCAGCTGCCGATGAGCCTCCGGTCCCCCCTGCAGGAACAGATGGCTGACGTCACTCAGGCTTCGTCCATTAATATTTACATGATGATGTAACGTATCTCATTACTTAAAGGTTTTTCATATGATATACAACATACAATACAACTATCAACACTTTCTCGTCAAGTCAACCTTTTAATCTAGCAGTGGAGATATAAACGGTAAAGGGACTTGAGCTTGTATATTTATTTTCAAGTCTTCTGACCACTCAAAGTGCTTTTACACCGCATGTCACACCTACACATTCACACACTGATGGGAGAGGCTGCTGTGTAAAGAGACCATCAAAAGTATGTAATCCCACTCATACGCATTCATACGCCGCTGATGAAGCAGCGGGAGCAATTTGGGGTTAAGTGTCTTGCACGATAACACATTGGACATGTTGCTGCAGGAACTGGGGAACGAACCCTCCGACTTCCTATTGAGAGACGGCCAACTTAGAAATGTACAAAGAAATTACCTCATATATTACAAATGGTTTCCCCTTTTCTTCCCCCCCACCCCCCTAGAGCACATAGGCCTACATACATCAGGATCAATCAAACTTGAAAACCTGCCCCAAGGGGCTATTTTTGTAATACACAAAATATATTTGTATTAGTTGTTTGTGTGTTGAACACTTCAAATACCTTATGGTCCATTGTGTACTTTACTTTGTTCAAAACAACAATACATTTGGATACTTAGACTTTCAGCTGTTACACTATTGGATTCTTTCACACCATTATACTCTAAGTACAAACAACAGTCATAGAAATCCAAATATAGAAAGAATGATTATTTCAAGAATGTATTAAATTTTGTACCAATTTTTATTTTTTATTTTTTATTTGTGCCAAATCTTTTAATTAAGTCCAAATTTATGTGTGGGAATAACCGGAGCACCCGGAGAAAAAACCCACTCAGTCACAGTGGAAACATGGAAAGCCCTGACTGATAGAAACAAGAGGACTTCTATCAATCAGGACTTTCAGTTTCCACTGTGACTGCTTGGCCTGCTACTGCCAGTGTGTTGGGGGATTGTGTGTGTTGGGGGACGTGGATGGAGAGGGGGTTGAGGAGAGGCTGGGGTTGTCACATCTGGTCCAGCATCTGCTTATTCTGCTGCTTGAATTTGCGGCGGGATGCTGGAGTGAAGGACTTCTTGAGCTTCCTCCACAGAGAGATCTCTTCCTGCTCGCTCGGTTGTTGCCTCATTTCATTTTGAAGCACCTCCACTTTCTCCTCCAGCACCTGATTGGCTTCCTCCTCTGCTGTCAATTTTGAGGACAGCTCAAGACACCTGCTGGTCTGTTCTTGCAGCTGATTCTGTAAGCCCTGTAACTGCTTTCCTTTAAGCATGGCCTCTATCTGCATGGCCTTCATGTCCTGCTCCAGGGATGATTTCTCCTCTTTGAGAGCCTGTGAGAACAGCAAATCTTTGTTGGCTGACTCCACATGCTGAAGCCTGACCACCTCCAGTTCATTCTCAAGGCCATCAGCCCTCAACCTTTGGTGCTCCTCTTGGAATTTGAGGTCCTCCACCTTCTCCTGCAGCGTCTGGGTTATTTCCCTCTGTGCAGTAATGATGGAGGAAAGCTCAAGACACCTGCTGGTCTGTTCTTGCAGCTGGTTCTGTAAGCCCTGTAACTGCTTTCCTTTAAGCATTGCGTCTTTCTGCATGGCCTTCATGTCCTGCTCCAGGGATGATTTCTCCTCTGTAAGAGCCTGTGAGAACAACAGATCTTTTTTGGCTGACTCCACATGCTGAAGCCTGACCACCTCCAGTTCATTCTCAAGGCCATCAGCCCTCAACCTTTGGTGCTCCTCTTGTAATTTGAGGTCCTCCACCTTCTCCTGCAGCGTCTGGGTTATTTCCCTCTGTGCAGTAATGATGGAGGAAAGCTCAAGACACCTGCTGGTCTGTTCTTGCAGCTGGTTCTGTAAGCCCTGTAACTGCTTTCCTTTAAGCATGGCCTCTATCTGCATGGCCTTCATGTCCTGCTCCAGGGATGATTTCTCCTCTGTGAGAGCCTGTGAGAACAACAGATCTTTGTTGGCTGACTCCACATGCTGAAGCCTGACCACCTCCAGTTCATTCTCAAGGCCATCAGCCCTCAAACTTTGGTGCTCCTCTTGTAATTTGAGGTCCTCCACCTTCTCCTGCAGTGTCTGGTTTGTTTCCTCCTGTGCTGTAAGGTTGGAGGACAGCCCAAGACACCTGCTGGTCTGTTCTTGCAGCTGATTCTGTAAGCCCTGTAACTGCTTTCCTTTAAGCATGGCCTCTTCTGCATGGCCTTCATGTCCTGCTTCAGGGATGATTTCTCCTCTTTGAGACCCTCAATTTTCAACAGACCCTTTTTTGCTGTATCCACAAGAAGAAACCTGGTGTCCTCCAGTTCTTTTTCAAGGCAAACAGCCCTCATCCTTTGGTGCTCCTCTTGTAATTTGAGGTCCTCCACCTTCTCCTGCAGTGTCTGGTTTGTTTCCTCCTGTGCTGTAAGGTTGGAGGACAGCCCAAGACACCTGCTGGTCTGTTCTTGCAGCTGATTCTGTAAGCCCTGTAACTGCTTTCCTTTAAGCATGGCCTCTTTCTGCATGGCCTTCATGTCCTGCTTCAGGGATGATTTCTCCTCTTTGAGACCCTCAATTTTCAACAGACCCTTTTTTGCTGTATCCACAAGAAGAAACCTGGTGTCCTCCAGTTCTTTTTCAAGGCAAACAGCCCTCATCCTTTGGTCCTCCTCTTGCATTTGGAGGTCCTCTACAATGTTCTGCAGTGCCTGATTGGTCTCCTCTTGAGCTGTAAGTTTGGAGGACAGCTCAAGACAGCTGCTCTTCAAACCTCCAGCTGCTCTGCTTTCAACATTTCATTATTGAAGACCTCTTTCTTCATGGCCTCCATCTCATGCTCCAGGGATTTATTCTCTTCAGTCAGGTGGTCAACCAGCATCACCTTACTCGCGACTATCTCCAGATGCTGATGTGTGACTTCTTCCATTTCCTTCTGGAGGTCCTGCACCTTCTTCTGTAGGTTCTGATTTTCCTCCTCCTTTGCAGTCAGTTTGAAGGACAGCTTATGACATCTACTCGTCATTTCCTCCAGCTGGTTCTTCAAGGCCCGAGTCTGGTTAGCAGTTTTAATGTCTCTGCTAAAGGTTTCTTGCTGCATGTCGTTAAGCTTTTTCACCAAGGCTTCTTTTTCAGCTCTAAGGTCTTGGTCCAGCTTTGGGTCACTTGAGGCTGTGTCCTGGAGCTTTTGGTTAAGTGCTGCAATAACACCTATGAGCTCCTCCTTGGTTTTGGTGGAGTAATTTGACATGTCCTGTTGTATTGAAAATGAGGAATTCATGTGCTTAAGTTCATCTTTGAGAATCCTGATCTCCTTTTTGCTCTCCAGTCTCCCATCATGCTCTATCTTCAATCTTTCCTCCGACTCCTGGACGATGTCCTTGCTGAGCATATCTCTGTCGGACCCTGGTTTGTTCAGCTCCTTCTCCTGTTTGATAAGAAAGTTCAGTCCCTGTACTTCATTCTTGAGGTCTGCAACCACCTGCCGTTGGGGTGGGTCCTTGATGCGATGGGCGATGGGGTCCATCCTGTTTGGGCCACTGGTGCTGCAAAGAAGCTCCCTCCCTCCTTTGGTGGAAAGTTTGAGCTTTTGGCTGAGCAGGATGCTGCCTGTTGTGGCTCTGTTGGTGGCCCCTGCTGTTGGCTCCTGGCATTGAGTTTCTAAACTCATGAGCCCCCATCTCCATCGTGTCTGCCCTTCTCTGGGATCTGTAGTACTCCATTACTGTTCTTAGATGAAACAGTGACTTAGCTGGTAAACTGTTTGTGTTCTTACTGAAGTGTCTTCTAACAATGTTGAATCTCAGATTGGATCTGTGAACTGTGGTTGTCTCAGACTTGACCAGTTAAGTACTGAGTAGGTGAGTCCTTGTGTTTACTTATAGTAGAATGAAGATTCTAAATGGCTTTGATGATCAGAGTTTCGGAATGCCTTTGATTTAATTTTTTCCCCAACATTCTATTAACACGACATCACGCATCAGTCAAATTATTTTCTTCTATTCGAACGTAAACAAAATGGCTGCCCCAGCATATTCATTCAATATGACCCTTTACTGATTTACAATAGGCTGAGATATAATTATACAATGTTTTGTTCTACTTCTATTTTATCAAGTTGAATAAGTTAATCGTAGTTTACTGGTTTATTCTACAGGTCCACACAAGAAACACAAACGTTTAAGAACAATAAAAAAGTCACAAACACTATACTCCATAAAAATTACATATAACAGCCTGTCCTGACAACATGCGACGCTAGCTAGCGTCGGCATCATAACCGGCCTTAATATATTGCTTGTTTGAAGTTGATGATTGGAGTGTCCTAACTGCCGCAGCACTTCGAGGCACGCCGTTTTTATCCCGACGCCCCTTTTCTATTTTCCTCTCTGTCACTGGCGTGGACAGACGAAGAACGAGGAAGGAGGGGGCTTTATACAGCACTGTCACTCACCTTTCTCAACACTCAACAGATCTTGTTAGTTTGTTTTACAAATCACCACACATCAGTTTGTCCAATGTCAATACAAAAGCACTAGATAGGCTACTGTTTGAAAGGGGGAACTGAAATTCACAGAGCAAAGAATGATTTATTTAATGTATTCAGTGTGGACAGCAGTGGGCGATCATGCGCAATGTGACTTGAGCTTGTGTGCTGTTAGGGACACGGACTGAATGTTAGGCCGAGACAGCATGACCAGAATGGCTGTGGCAGCTGCCGATGAGCCTCCGGTCCCCCCTGCAGGAACAGATGGCTGACGTCACTCAGGCTTCGTCCATTAATATTTACATGATGGTGTAACGTATCTCATTACTTAAACACTTAAAGGTTAATCATATGATATACAACATACAATACAACTATCAACACTTTCTCGTCAAGTCAACCTTTTAATCTAGCAGTGGAGATATAAACGGTAAAGGGACTTGAGCTTGTATATTTATTTTCAAGTCTTCTGACCACTCAAAGTGCTTTTACACCGCATGTCACACCTACACATTCACACACTGATGGGAGAGGCTGCTGTGTAAAGAGACCATCAAAAGTATGTAATCCCACTCATACGCATTCATACGCCGCTGACGAAGCAGCGGGAGCAATTTGGGGTTAAGTGTCTTGCACGATAACACATTGGACATGTTGCTGCAGGAACTGGGGAACGAACCCTCCGACTTCCTATTGAGAGACGGCCAACTTAGAAATGTACAAAGAAATTACCTCATATATTACAAATGGTTTCCCCTTTTCTTCCCCCCACCCCCCTAGAGCACATAGGCCTACATACACCAGGATCAATCAAACTTGAAAACCTGCCCCAAGGGGCTATTTTTGTAATACACAAAATATATTTGTATTAGTTGTTTGTGTGTTGAACACTTCAAATACCTTATGGTCCATTGTGTACTTTGCTTTGTTCAAAACAACAATACATTTGGATACTTAGACTTTCAGCTGTTACACTATTGGATTCTTTCACACCATTATACTCTAAGTACAAACAACAGTCATAGAAATCCAAATATAGAAAGAATGATTATTGCAAGAATGTATTAAATTTTGTACCAATTTTTATTTTTTATTTGAAATTTGTGCCAAATCTTTTAATTAAGTCCAAATTTATGTGTGGGAATAACCGGAGCACCCGGAGAAAAAACCCACTCAGTCACAGTGGAAACATGGAAAGTCCTGACTGATAGAAACAAGAGGACTTCTATCAATCAGGACTTTCAGTTTCCACTGTGACTGCTTGGCCTGCTACTGCCAGTGTGTTGGGGGATTGTGTGTGTTGGGGGACGTGGATGGAGAGGGGGTTGAGGAGAGGCTGGGGTTGTCACATCTGGTCCAGCATCTGCTTATTCTGCTGCTTGAATTTGCGGCGGGATGCTGGAGTGAAGGACTTCTTGAGCTTCCTCCACAGAGAGATCTCTTCCTGCTCGCTCGGTTGTTGCCTCATTTCATTTTGAAGCACCTCCACTTTCTCCTCCAGCACCTGATTGGCTTCCTCCTCTGCTGTCAATTTTGAGGACAGCTCGAGACACCTGCTGGTCTGTTCTTGCAGCTGATTCTGTAAGCCCTGTAACTGCTTTCCTTTAAGCATGGCCTCTATCTGCATGGCCTTCATGTCCTGCTCCAGGGATGATTTCTCCTCTTTGAGAGCCTGTGAGAACAGCAAATCTTTGTTGGCTGACTCCACATGCTGAAGCCTGACCACCTCCAGTTCATTCTCAAGGCCATCAGCCCTCAACCTTTGGTGCTCCTCTTGTAATTTGAGGTCCTCCACCTTCTCCTGCAGTGTCTGGGTTGTTTCCTTCTGTGCTGTAATGATGGAGGAAAGCTCAAGACACCTGCTGGTCTGTTCTTGCAGCTGGTTCTGTAAGCCCTGTAACTGCTTTCCTTTAAGCATGGCCTCTTTCTGCATGGCCTTCATGTCCTGCTCCAGGGATGATTTCTCCTCTGTGAGAGCCTGTGAGAACAACAGATCTTTGTTGGCTGACTCCACATGCTGAAGCCTGACCACCTCCAGTTCATTCTCAAGGTCATCAGCCCTCAACCTTTGGTGCTCCTCTTGTAATTTGAGGTCCTCCACCTTCTCCTGCAGCGTCTGGGTTATTTCCCTCTGTGCAGTAATGATGGAGGAAAGCTCAAGACACCTGCTGGTCTGTTCTTGCAGCTGGTTCTGTAAGCCCTGTAACTGCTTTCCTTTAAGCATTGCGTCTTTCTGCATGGCCTTCATGTCCTGCTCCAGGGATGATTTCTCCTCTGTAAGAGCCTGTGAGAACAACAGATCTTTGTTGGCTGACTCCACATGCTGAAGCCTGACCACCTCCAGTTCATTCTCAAGGCCATCAGCCCTCAACCTTTGGTGCTCCTCTTGTAATTTGAGGTCCTCCACCTTCTCCTGCAGCGTCTGGGTTATTTCCCTCTGTGCAGTAATGATGGAGGAAAGCTCAAGACACCTGCTGGTCTGTTCTTGCAGCTGGTTCTGTAAGCCCTGTAACTGCTTTCCTTTAAGCATGGCCTCTATCTGCATGGCCTTCATGTCCTGCTCCAGGGATGATTTCTCCTCTGTGAGAGCCTGTGAGAACAACAGATCTTTGTTGGCTGACTCCACATGCTGAAGCCTGACCACCTCCAGTTCATTCTCAAGGCCATCAGCCCTCAAACTTTGGTGCTCCTCTTGTAATTTGAGGTCCTCCACCTTCTCCTGCAGTGTCTGGTTTGTTTCCTCCTGTGCTGTAAGGTTGGAGGACAGCCCAAGACACCTGCTGGTCTGTTCTTGCAGCTGATTCTGTAAGCCCTGTAACTGCTTTCCTTTAAGCATGGCCTCCTTCTGCATGGCCTTCATGTCCTGCTTCAGGGATGATTTCTCCTCTTTGAGACCCTCAATTTTCAACAGACCCTTTTTTGCTGTATCCACAAGAAGAAACCTGGTGTCCTCCAGTTCTTTTTCAAGGCAAACAGCCCTCATCCTTTGGTGCTCCTCTTGTAATTTGAGGTCCTCCACCTTCTCCTGCAGTGTCTGGTTTGTTTCCTCCTGTGCTGTAAGGTTGGAGGACAGCCCAAGACACCTGCTGGTCTGTTCTTGCAGCTGATTCTGTAAGCCCTGTAACTGCTTTCCTTTAAGCATGGCCTCTTTCTGCATGGCCTTCATGTCCTGCTTCAGGGATGATTTCTCCTCTTTGAGACCCTCAATTTTCAACAGACCCTTTTTTGCTGTATCCACAAGAAGAAACCTGGTGTCCTCCAGTTCTTTTTCAAGGCAAACAGCCCTCATCCTTTGGTCCTCCTCTTGCATTTGGAGGTCCTCTACAATGTTCTGCAGTGCCTGATTGGTCTCCTCTTGAGCTGTAAGTTTGGAGGACAGCTCAAGACAGCTGCTCTTCAAACTCTCCAGCTGCTCTGCTTTCAACATTTCATTATTGAAGACCTCTTTCTTCATGGCCTCCATCTCATGCTCCAGGGATTTATTCTCTTCAGTCAGGTGGTCAACCAGCATCACCTTACTCGCGACTATCTCCAGATGCTGATGTGTGACTTCTTCCATTTCCTTCTGGAGGTCCTGCACCTTCTTCTGTAGGTTCTGATTTTCCTCCTCCTTTGCAGTCAGTTTGAAGGACAGCTTATGACATCTACTCGTCATTTCCTCCAGCTGGTTCTTCAAGGCCCGAGTCTGGTTAGCAGTTTTAATGTCTCTGCTAAAGGTTTCTTGCTGCATGTCGTTAAGCTTTTTCACCAAGGCTTCTTTTTCAGCTCTAAGGTCTTGGTCCAGCTTTGGGTCACTTGAGGCTGTGTCCTGGAGCTTTTGGTTAAGTGCTGCAATAACACCTATGAGCTCCTCCTTGGTTTTGGTGGAGTAATTTGACATGTCCTGTTGTATTGAAAATGAGGAATTCATGTGCTTAAGTTCATCTTTGAGAATCCTGATCTCCTTTTTGCTCTCCAGTCTCCCATCATGCTCTATCTTCAATCTTTCCTCCGACTCCTGGACGATGTCCTTGCTGAGCATATCTCTGTCGGACCCTGGTTTGTTCAGCTCCTTCTCCTGTTTGATAAGAAAGCTCAGTCCCTGTACTTCATTCTTGAGGTCTGCAACCACCTGCCGTTGGGGTGGGCGTCCTTGATGCGATGGGCGATGGGGTCCATCCTGTTTGGGCCACTGGTGCTGCAAAGAAGCTCCCTCCCTCCTTTGGTGGAAAGTTTGAGCTTTTGGCTGAGCAGGATGCTGCCTGTTGTGGCTCTGTTGGTGGCCCCTGCTGTTGGCTCCTGGCATTGAGTTTCTAAACTCATGAGCCCCCATCTCCATCGTGTCTGCCCTTCTCTGGGATCTGTAGTACTCCATTACTGTTCTTAGATGAAACAGTGACTTAGCTGGTAAACTGTTTGTGTTCTTACTGAAGTGTCTTCTAACAATGTTGAATCTCAGATTGGATCTGTGAACTGTGGTTGTCTCAGACTTGACCAGTTAAGTACTGAGTAGGTCAGTCCTTGTGTTTACTTATAGTAGAATGAAGATTCTAAATGGCTTTGATGATTCAGAGTTTCGGAATGCCTTTGATTTAATGTTTTCCCCAACATTCTATTAACACGACATCACAGCATCATTCAAATTATTTTCTTCTATTTGAACGTAAACAAAATGGCTGCCCCAGCATATTCATTCAATATGACCCTTTACTGATTTACAATAGGCTGAGATAAAATTATACAATGTTTTGTTCTACTTCTATTTTATCAAGTTGAATAAGTTAATCATAGTTTATTGGTTTATTCTACAGGTCCACACACAAATCACAAACGTTTAAGAACAATAAAAAAGTCACAAACACTAAAAAATTACATATAACAGCCTTTCCTGACAACATGCGACGCTAGCTAGCGTCGGCATCATAACCGGCCTTAATATATTGCTTGTTTGAAGTTGATGATTGGAGTGTCCTAACTGCCGCAGCAGTTCGAGGCACGCCGTTTTTATCCCGACGCCCCTTTTCTATTTTCCTCTCTGTCACTGGCGTGGACAGACGAAGAACGAGGAAGGAGGGGGCTTTATACAGCACTGTCACTCACCTTTCTCAACACTCAACAGATCTTGTTAGTTTGTTTTACAAATCACCACACATCAGTTTGTCCAACGTCAATACAAAAGCACTAGATAGGCTACTGTTTGAAAGTGGGAACTGAAATTCACAGAGCAAAGAATGATTTATTTAATGTATTCAATGTGGACAGCAGTGGGCGATCGTGCGCAATGCGACTTGAGCTTGTGTGCTGTTCGGGACACGGACTGAATGTTAGGCCGAGACAGCATGACCAGCATGGCTGTGGCAGCTGCCGATGAGCCTCCGGACCCCCCTGCAGGAACAGATGGCTGACGTCACTCAGGCTTCGTCCATTAATATTTACATGATGGTGTAACGTATCTCATTACTTAAACACTTAAAGGTTAATCATATGATATACAACATACAATACAACTATCAACACTTTCTCGTCAAGTCAACCTTTTAATCTAGCAGTGGAGATATAAACGGTAAAGGGACTTGAGCTTGTATATTTATTTTCTGGTCTTCTGACTACTCAAAGCACATTTACACCGCATGTCACACCTACACATTCACACACTGATGGTAGAAGCTGCTGTGTAAAGAGACCATGGGTATGTAATCCCATTTATACGCAGTCATACGCTGACGACGAAGCAGCGGGAGCAATTTGGGGTTAAGTGTCTTGCACGAGGACACATTGGACATGTTGCTGCAGGAACTGGGGATCGAACCCTCCGACTTCCAATTGAGAGACGGCCGACTCTACCAGCTGAGCCACAGCAGCCCTCGAATGATATAGCTTGATTGCAATTTTTTGTGTTGCAGTTATTGCACTGAAATTCAGACATCTTATCATTTGTGTATTATACAAATGATGCTAGGGCTAATGAACTGTGTGTCTGGGACAATGAACAGGATAGGGAGTTTCAGAGAGAGAAGATTATAGTGTACTTTTGAAGGGACCGGGGGATCTGTTGATGGGATATCTTAATTTTTCATTTTCTAGCAATAAGATATGAAAAGTAGAGCTTGAAAAAAAACTGACTTTATGTGCTTAGACCTTAAGAGTCTGGATTGGACTTGCCCCTCAAGAAACTGGATACATTCAGAATGATGAACCAAAAGAGTGTCTGACAAAAACAAAAGTCTTGAATGTGGGAGGAACCATTTAGAAAATATGTTAAATCCCCAGTAAATTAGGGTCAAGAATCACTTCTTTTAAACCAGCTCCAAGAATTGAAGCATTGTGCAGTTTTCCACTCATCTCCAGATCTCTTTCCAGGGACATCTGCGTCAGACTCAAATCTTGGTGAGGTGGAACGCCAGCTCCACAGCTGGTTTGGTGAACGAGAGCCATGAAGGCTGTTCAGTAAAGGGACCGACAGATTGAGGAGAGGCGGAGGAAGACTCTGGCTGAGTCTGTTGTTCTTTGCTCCATATAAATGAAACAGATGGCCACGACAGCTCACTGAAACTAAAACAAGAACTACACACAGAGAGGCTCAATGTCCGCATGCAATTAGAAACTGATATGATTGTGCTTATCTACTGTAATTTGTTTCAGAACTGTTATATTAACAAGCTAATTCATAACATGTTGAATGCCTGAGCAGAGGAACAGCCTAGCAATGCCAAAAATGTATTGGATCAAAATGTGCATTCTGAATATTGAACTGCTTGACTGGGCATTTAGTACAGATACTTATCGTAAGATGTTAACACCAACTTCAACAACAACTTTGTGCAGCCCAGTGTGCAGAAGCTTGAAGCCTTTGCTTTCCTCTTTGAGCACAGGCTTTGCAACACAGAGGATTTAGAAAAAAAACACAAGCTAAATGTATCCATCCAGAGTCAACAGGACTTGGACTGTATGTGTAAAGCCTACAAAAACAAACATGGACCATGAACACATCATATTCACACATGCACTGTATGTATTTAAAACAAACCCACGGCTAAACATAGTACATGGCACTTTCTCACTTTTGTGAGTTGAAACAGGCCAGTGTTGAAAATGTTCTCAGTACTTTTCCAAAAAGCCTGCTGTACTTCAAAGCTGTTGAGGGATTTTGATGCTCTGTTTGTATCATAAATACCTTTCTGACCTGAAAATTCAAACCCATGTGCAGAGTATTACACATTGGCAAGTCTCTCCCAAGGCCACAGCGCCGCCTGATTGACTGTGTACTGCACTTTGTTTGGCTGCTGGCTGTGGTCATCTCATGAGAAAATTAGGATTTTGTGGCAAGAAACAAAAATCTGTCTCAATTGCACAACTAGCTGGACTTACAGTCAGATATTGTCCAAGTTTATTACAATTAAAATCAATTGATAGGCAGGCTAAATAAAGAATAATATCATCAAGGCATGTAGATTTATAGCCTGCTGTTTTTATGTTTTTATTAAAATGTTGACAGGCAGAGGACAGAACAATTACACAATGAATAAAGCAATAACGTAACACTGCCAAATATCACAATGACAGCGGACTTTAGGGACTTCTGTTCTGTGTTGTTTAACACTTAACTCTTAATCAACAGCCTAAATCATGGTTAAAAGTACAATGAGTGATAACTTAAACGATGTTATTCAGTTATGCTGGTTCAGAAGCTCTCTGTCCGACGCGTTCTCACCTCCACGTTGTCCATTCATTACTGATAATTGGACAACTCGTCGGGCATTAACTCGTATACTTTGTGGTGTCACCTCTATACAGTTAATGGGACACTAATGCAAACACCAACCTGTTGCTCTTGCTTTGTCTTGTCACTGTCTGCGCCCGCGACCATAGACTGTATAAAGACCACAACTCCTAACCTGACCAGACCTGATCCATTGACCAAGTGTGAGCGAGAGTAACGTGCCTGTGCACGCGCGTATGACTGTGCGGCAAGGTTAAGATGGTATGGTCCACTATAGGGGTGTCTGAAATGATTGGGAAACGTATTTACAGGTCAGAAGGATATGTCAATGTTTTGAGCCCCCCAAAATGTTTTTCATTACCTCTTTTTTTTACCTTTTTTTGATTTTTTTTTTGAGGGGGACAAATCTACCTTTTCTAAATATTGTGGGGGGGGGGACACATCCCCTGCGTCCCCCCCGAAATCTACGGCTATGCACATCACACACACATTCATCCCAAAGTCTGTCTTCAAAAACCAAATGCATTTCCAGATTTGAACTTCGTTTGTATTGATGAAGACTGCATTCACCGACTGTGATGTCTCTAAGGAAGATAATACAACCCCCTCTGGTCTCATTTTCAGCAGCCCAGTGGAAGGACTCCTGGGTACACACTTTATATGTGAATACTTTAGCAAAAGAAGAGCAAGCGAAGGAATTCAAATCTGCTAACCAGCTCCATGACTTTTGGACAACTGCAGGGGATTTCTCCAGGGACTGCCAGAGTTATTCAATTGTATTGGGCCCTGTGGCTATGTCCGGAGGTTTAAACACATTACCTGAAACTAGTCAAAGCAATGGCTGAGATGGTGAAAGCATCTGTGTTGTAACCAGGATATCATGGGTTCAAATCCCATTGGGGACTCCTCTGTGCAGAGAACTGAAACCTCAGATGCACTCAGCACATTTTCAAATTAAGTTGAGGTAAGAAGTTATTAAGTACTTCAAAAACATGTGTGAGACTTCATAATACTGATTCTTTGTTAAGGTTTATTTAGGGGCCATTATGCCTTTATTTTGAACTAGGACAGTCCAAAATCGAGAATGGAGAAGGAGAGAGAGAGAGAGAGAGAGAGAGAGAGAGAGTGGGGAACTTAGAACTCAGACTTTGGCCGGTTCACATTTTTTTAATACTATAATCCAGGAACTGGGATATTGAGCATTAAATTGGAAACTGATCCAGATCTGTGGATCTTTAAATCCTTACTAAGTAAGGTAAGCTTGCTGTTAACGTCTCAGAGTTGACTGAAAAAGTCCTAAGTTCAGTCCCTTGAGGAGAGCCGTCAGCCCCCAGCTGAGACAGACCTGAATCATTTAACCAGCACTTCCCTCCCAATGTTTCCACTGACGTCAGCTCCCATATAGGACCCTCAGACAGACGTCGGGGGAGTGAGGTTAACTATTACAACATCCTATAGCTATGAAGTGCTACTGCACACCCATGACAGCTGCCATTTGTTGTTCCTAAAAGGCTGCAGTGAGTCACGCAGCACGAGTCACAGAGCGGATGTTACAACTATTTACACACTAAACATTTTACATTCTGCAGAGAAATAATACCTATGTGATCATATCAACAGGTACTGAAGTTAAACGTTTTTGAAGGGGGAAGTTA